ATGTCTTTGAATGAGAACTGGTTTTTCACTGTCCCTATTCTGCTCTGCAGTTCACAGTTCAAGTACTGTTTTAATATTGTGACATTTTTGCTAAATTAAGATATTATAAATTCCACATGAACACTTTCATATGCTGCTACATATATTGCTCCTAAGATCTGCTTTTTCAAAGGCATGTTCTTGAAAATAGTTTTTTCCATAATGTGCATATATCCATATTTTTATCCATGCTTTTATGAAAATTTCAGAATTTGCTTTACTGTTTAATTCTGATTTTTATGGAAGGGTGGGAGAGTTCCTTTAAATATTTCTATTTCTTTCCATTCCTAAGTCTTTCTGAAAAGGAGACTGGGACATAGGTTCATTAATGGCTGCCGAGCTGTAGAATTATTTCCAGCTGAGTTTTCAAGATCAGGCTGAGTTGTCTCAGGTAAAGCTGTACCTGAGAACTTCCATCTTTTGGTTCTGATTCAGTTGGAAGCCATCATACATATACAATATGGATAGTTCAAGCATGTACCTGGACTATAATGAAAGAGAAATTAAATAAGGCAATTCAGTGTCTTCAGGATCTAAAGGTAACTGCAGAGAATTTACATAACTCAGGACTGAAGTGTTGGATTGTTGAGATCTCTTAACTTGGTTTATCAGTGGTAGATGTTTTATTACCCGTCCAAATCACATCTTCAGTGCTATGATCTTTATATCAACTTTACCCCTCAGGACATATTTGAAAGAGCTGAAGATTTTTCATTCTAAATTCCTGAGTGGAAAACACTTGTGAGGACTTGAGGCAAACATTGATATCTTCCTGGCTATCTTTTAGTAAATGATCAGTTTGCAGATAGCCCACAAGTGAAGTAGGTGACTCAGCTGTGCCATTGTTTAGCAAAGATGTCAAGTAGGCTCATACTGAGCCTAGATACAAAAGCTAATATGGATGAAAAATAAATCCACCTTGAGAGGGAGCACAATTGACACCTGGCAGTTCCATCACTACCATAAAATTGAGGAATCTATGAGTTCTATAGTCTTTGGGGGGAACTTAATTGTTGTAGTTGAAATCAGTACCATACCAAAGAAGATACCTTGGAATTTCTAATTAAGGAGCACCTCTTGACTGTCTTGCCAGAGGAAATGCAGAGATAGCTAGGGGAATACCATTCAGAAACATGTGATAAGAATAGAAAGAATAATTCCATGATGGGCAACTCAAAAGCAAAGGCCTGGGAAGCACATCTAAGTTAGGAAGCACCCTCCCCCAAACTTTTGAGCTGTGAATAGTCCCAACATAGACCCAGACTAGGTCTTGTATAAACCTCACAGGTTTGGAAACCGGGATGAAACATTAAGATTGTGGTTGCAAAGCATTGGCTTGCCATATTTAGCTAAAAAATGGAAAGATAAAGTGAAGGAAGCATGCAAGGACAAAACTGATTTGTGTAGCACTGAGGAGAGAATTCTGTTTACAAACTGTACAAAAAGAAATATATTCTGCTAAATTAAACCAATGGAACCTATACGGACAGGCTGTATTGGGTTTCTGAGCAAAACTGAAAATCAATTAGTATAAGAAGAAATGGAAGAAAGCTACAGTATTAGTATTATTACCTCTATCTAATCAAACTATTATGATAACTGCATTTTTTTCTGCAAGGAATAAAGCAGAAATCTGTATAAATTATACAGATATGCTTACCTGCACAAATTATTTTATTTTGCTTTACTTAGTTTAGCTTATTCCTGGTGAAGAGCATTGTAGCTCTGCTTTGGATCACTGAAATGTTTACCTAGCAAAGTCTCTGGTGTCCAACATTTTATCAGTAGTTTCCTACATACTTTGAATTCACAAAGGTTCTAGAAATGTTTGTGTTCATAAAGAAGATGAAATTCCCTGAGAGTTAATTAGGAAATTAAATTATGGCATTCTTATATAATTGAATTATGATAGTTGTGATTTTGAGTTCTGGCTGTCTCATTCACAGATCTCTGCATGGAATTTCCCCCCTTTGGCTGTTCTTAAGTAGCATCAAGTAGGGCATGTTCAAATAGTTTAGCATCTTAAACCTATTCTTTTTTAAAAAGGGGAAGAATACATAATATGTTGAAAAAGTGTTTGGTGCTGTTACTTTAGGCTTATCTCTTTAGCAATTATCTTCTTTGGAGAGTCCTTAACAAGCCAATAGAGCTTTTAAGGACAAAAGAAGACTGTGGTATTATCATTCATGACCAACTTGTCAAGGATTATTTGGAAAAGTGCCTAGGGTAGAGAAAATATTTTAAGTTCCAAAATTCAGGGAGGAAATGGTGGTAGACCTATCCATTTAAATACTTAATTGGTCATTACATCATTTTTGTCTGGTGACCTTTGACAGTGAATATTGTGCAATCTAATTAAACTAAATTTTGTAGTGGAGAAAAATATTACTGTCATTTAACTGGATGCAATAATGGCCCAACAGCCATGATAAGGATTAGAGAGCATGCTAATACAGGCAAGCAGCTTCCATATTTTTTTCTTTCTTAGCCATTCCCTATTGCCTAATGGAGGCCAAGAGATTCTAATAATTTTAACCTAAATTAGGACTACCAGGTCTGGGAGCAAAAATCCAGAGGCAACAAAAGTTAGAGATTTTTTTTTGCTATCTATTAATCATCCAGATGTTTGCAGCCTGGATTTGGTATATTAACTGCTGGGTCTTGTTGGAAAGTAATAGCTGGGTTCATAGAATAAGCTAACTTATTTTGTTTAGTTTTGATAATTTAATGAATCATCATGAAGCAAACCATGGCAACAGGCAGTATTTATGAGAACTGCTATGGATTGACATGATGTTATACAGCTTCTTGCAAACTTAAGTAGGAATTTTAACCTGGGTCTTCTTTGACTCAATCCAAGACCCCAAATATCATACCATTCTGGCTATAATGTCTTTAGATTAAATGATGTTATACTGATTTTTTTATTTACTAAACTCTCTCTGTGTATATTTATAACGCTAGAAACTAGAAGATTGTGAATTCTATGAAGGAACCAATGGTAAACCACTTCTGAAAAACCTTGCCAAGAAAACTACAGGGACTTGTCTAGGCAGTCTCCAAGAAATGGACATAACTGATTGGAAGAAAAAATATATACCACATTAATGTTATTATAGAACTTTTTGCATTTTCAGGGAATTATATGTGATACTCATATCTATGATAAAGAGTCAGAATACAGAACTGAGTAAGATCACTTTTATAAACAACCAAAGTTTTACAATAGAGCGTATGGCTTTTGAATTTTGTAGAATGTGCTTTTCAGTTCTGAGAATGTTAAAGCATGCATTTTTTGTGGTATGAATTTGCATTGTCTTCTGCACAGAATAACATAGCTGCAATTGTTTATTTAGTTTAAGAGGCAATGATAGAATTATGAGGGCAGTGGTCTCAATATAGAATTTGGATTGCCATGATGAATGTGGTCTGCTAATTTCTGGCAGCAGATTGGATGCAAGCAGTCTTTTCTACTCCAAGTATATAACAACAAAGAGCCATTTAAAAAAAAACTAGCAAAAATCCATCTCTTTTCTAATCAGATGTGTTGAAATCACCATTCTCTAACTTCTAATCAGCATGGCAGCCTCATACATCTGGACTTTAACAGCTTGGGACATGCAATATCTTAAAGATATATAGTACATAAATTTCACTTTAATGGGATTTTAAAATGAAAAATGTTTAAAATAATTGGTGCATCAGTATTATATGTATTACTAAAAGATATATCCTATTATATTTAGATTGATTCCTAGGTATGTATATAGTTCATTGTGTATATGACAAATTTTGCAAGTCATTTTGGGTCTGGTGAAGTGTCTTATGAAATGTTCAGATCCATTGCCAGTGGTTTCATTTGGGTTACAAGTCAGAGCTTGCAGGTGATTCAGTGTCCAAAGTATTTCATATGGCTAATATATTCATAGCTTCACTTGCTCTGAAGCACATTTTAAAAATCAAAACTATGGGTTTATTATAGCTATACTACAAACTAATAAAATTATCAACTCCCAGCTAAGTGAGAAATGAAGAACTATAAATTCTGATTACAACATTAAACTCCTTTTAATGTGCAAACTAGAAAAAAATAAAGCTTTAATAAAAAATTACAAAAACTTTTTTTCTCTTAAAAAACCTAACATTTACATGTGCAGCTATAACCATTGCAAAATTCCAAACATGCAGTTTTGGTATATCAACAGTGTTAGAGGGATTAAAATTGGTAGTGTTAGAAATACTTATGATGTGCTTGACAGGAATTTACAAACAGCCAAATGATGAAATTAGAAAACCTCTACTTACAACACACTCAATTGGATTTTTGTCTCATCTTCAAAACACAAGATTCCTCAGTTCTTAGCCAATTCACTTTTTAAAGTCACCATTTCAAAAATTTGCCATGTGCTACTGAGAACTATAATCTGACAAACACAACTGCAAATTTCCTTGGAAATGAGGCAGCTTCTCCAAGAGATGTAATTCAGATGAGTTAAATCAAATCCTTTGTAACTCTGACCAGGATGTCTGCTAAGCCAAGTAATTCTTTAGCTTTTATCTTGACTCTGGTAATTATTTTTGGAAAATAATTCTACTTTTAAGAAAACAAACATTTTAGGAGGAAAATGTTCTAATAGAAAAGTTCCAATGAACCCAAATATTATTGTGAATTTTACCATCCCTCATTGAGGCACTGTTAAAAAAAGGGAACACAGAAAAAAATAACAAATCAACAGAACAGTTCACACCTCTATCACAGTTTCAAATACAGAATTTTCAAGCTCTCCACGAAAGAGGCACAGGATTGAAGGCCTTTAAGGTGACATTCCATTACACATTATCTAGAAGTTTACCCAAATTTGTAAAAATCTGATACAATTAATTAGCTAATATATGACTGGATAAGCATCTGTCCATATGATTTTTATGCAAGAGCAAATAAAGACAATTTTGCACTTAAGAACATGACTGATCAACTTGAAAGCAAGATTTATTTATTTTTATTGTTTGGGACATTTGCAAAATTGATATTTATGAAATAAATTCTATATCCAATTTCAGAGCCTCAAGTATCTGAGCAGTTTAATTAAATAGATGCTCTTTAATTGAATGTGCAAAACATTTTGAAATTAAACCATTCCATCCTTTAAATGTTCCATTCTGATATGAGAGCATCTCTTCTGAGAATACAAGAGATGGCCCAATCTTGAAACTCATTTAAAATTCAGTATATTCAGATATCAAAATGTACTGACCTGGAAGTATTTTGCACATTTCTATGGTCAATCACATTTTGATTTCTGGGGAAGGATAGGGCTGAATTTCCATTAGCTTTGGCTGTGTGATTGTCTAGCTTTTCTTTCTGACTGTTGTGTCAAGAAGAAAATATTCCTATTATCATTGAATGTTAGAACTTTGTTGCTCTTCCCTCTTCCCTTCCCCTGGATGATTTTAGAAATTAACAACAAAACATTCAATATGTGAACTGAGCTACCGAAGGCATTTTTGCTTTGATTAATATTCAGGGTAACTGCCTTGCCCTCAGAAAATGGTTCTAGCTTCTAGAAGACTCCAGGGCACAGAACATTTCCCTGATTTAGTGTTATTTCCTAAAAACTTCTTTGCACGTTCAAGTCAGCTATACTGTTTCTCCCTAGGATTCAAGTCAGTTAAAGGATTCACCCGTGTCCTGCACTGTCTGCTCCACACTGTACTGTAGTTCCAAACTGCCTGTGCATTCACAACACCCAGCCTTTCGCTCTTGGCTCCCTTGCACTGAATTCCGCTTTGCATTTTTCCCACAAAGTGAACAACGGCTTGATTCTTCTCGCACATGGGTCCTCATGTGGTTCACCAGGTTGAATTTGTGCAAGAATCTTTTCCCACATTCGGTGCACTGATGGGGCTTGACCCCTGTGTGTACTCTCCGGTGTCTGGTGAGGGTGGATTTACGTGAGAAGTTCTTCCCACATTCGGGGCAAGGGAAAAGCGCTTCTTGTTTGTGCAAGGGCTGTTTTTTCAAAGCTAGCTGACTGTTGGGTGTCTGGTGAGCAAAGGGAGTTGCTTGCAAATTGGGAAGAAGGCGATTTCTCTGTCTTTTTGAACTTTCCTGTAACAGATACTCTTCCTCATTTTTAGTCTGTATTTCATCACCTGCTAGATTAAAAAAGAAAAAAAGTTATTACTATTTATGTAACTATACACTAGAGTTTCATAAGCTTCACTTTTGCAACAAGACAAACACTTTAATTATTTAATTACAGACTGATATATATATGTGTGTGTGTGTGTGTGCGCGCGCGCGTATATATATATGTGCGTGTGTATATATGTGTGTGCGTGTATACATATATATATATGTGTGTGTGTGTGCGTGCATGTGTGTGTGTGTGTGTATGTATGTATGTATGTATGTATGTATATATATATATATATATATATATATATATATATATATATATATATATATATATATAGGTCTTTGGTTGTTCGGGTTTTCTCCCGCGTAAAATTGGAAGTGTCTTGGCGACGTTTCGACGAAGTCCCATTCGTCATCTTCAGGCTGGTGCTTTCAGCTTCGTGCTTTGAGCAGCAATGTGTGGTCTTAGCTGTTTCTTCCTTTTAACTGCCAGTGGGGGTATGAACTGATTGGGTGGGAGCTTGGCTGTGTTCTGATTGGGTGGAGGTGTGTTCTGAATGGTTAGGGGCTTGGCTGTGCTCTGATTGGCTGGGGGAGTGTTCTGTTTGGTTGTGCTCAGGTTAGTCTGAGTTGCAGAGGGGTTTAAGATTTTGGGCTGCCTTGCTATTTTTTTGGCTTCGCGTTCGTGGTCGTGCCTCCTCTTCATGGAGGGTGTCAGTTTGCTTCATGTATGGATTGGAGGGGTTTAAAGTGGCTAATGATGCAGCTGTGGTCTGGCTTCTGGTTTGTGGTCGTGCCTCGTCATCGGTGTGGCTTTGGGTTTGTTTTTTGCGTGGATGTGTGGTGGTGACCTCCTGTGTGGTTTTTGTGAGTGTGGGTCTGGTATCATTTTTTGTGTTAGGGAGTCGTTTGTCAATAAGGGCGGGTTTCCAAATGGCTGGTAGGCGGGAGGTATCATCTCGCTTGTTCATGCTGTGTGGGCGTTTTTCTATCTCGATGGCTTCTCTGATTATTCTGTTATTAAAATGTTCACTTTTGGCAATGGTTCTGGTATTTTTAAAGTCAATTTCATGTCCTGTGGCTTTAAGGTGTTGGACCAGGGAAGATGTTGGTTCCTCTTTTTTGACTGAGTTCTTATGTTCTTCAATGCGTGCACTGTATATACGGTGTATGTATATATATATATATATATATATATATATATATATATATATATATATATATATATATATATGTTTTCTGAGGTTTTCGCGGGTGTTTGTATGTAGGTCTTTGGTTGTTCGGGTTTTCTCCCCGTAAAATTGGAGTGTCTTGGCGACGTTTCGACGAAGTCCCATTCGTCATCTTCAGGCTGGTTTTCAGCTTCGTACTTCGAGCAGCAATGTGTGGTCTTAGCTGTTTCTTCCTTTTAACTGCCAGTGGGGGTATGAACTGATTGGGTGGGAGCTTGGCTGTGTTCTGATTGGGTGGAGGTGTGTTCTGATTGGTTAGGGGCGTGGCTGTGCTCTGATTGGCTGGGGGGTTGGCTGTGCTCTGATTGGCTGGGGGGTTGGCTGTGCTCTGATTGGCTGGGGGAGTGTTCTGTTTGGTTGTGCTCAGGTTAGTCTGAGTTGCAGAGGGGTTTAAGATTTTGGGCTGCCTTGCTATTTTTTGGCTTCGCGTTTGTGGTCGTGCCTCATTTTCATGGAGGGTGTCAGTTTGCTTCATGTATGGATTGGAGGGCTTTAAAGTGGCTAATGATGCAGCTCTGGTCTGGCTTCTGGTTTGTGGTCGTGCCTCATCATCGGTGTGGCTTTGGATTTGCTTTTTGCGTGGATGTGTGGTGGTGACATCCTGTGTGATTTTTGTGAGTGTGGGTCTGGTATCATTTTTTGTATTAGGGAGTCGTTTGTCAATAAGGGCGGGTTTCCAAATGGCTGGTAGGCGGGAGGTATCATCTCGCTTGTTCATGCTGTGTGGGCGTTTTTCTATCTCGATGGCTTCTCTGATTATTCTGTTATTAAAATGTTCACTTTTGGCAATGGTTCTGGTATTTTTAAAGTCAATTTCATGTCCTGTGGCTTTAAGGTGTTGGACCAGGGAAGATGTTGGTTCCTCTTTTTTGACTGAGTTCTTATGTTCTTCAATGCGTGCACTTATTCTTCTGTTGGTTTGTCCGATGTATGTGGTGGGACAAGTGGTGCATGGGATTTCGTATACTCCTTGATTTTCTAATTCAATTTTATCTTTGGGGTTTCTAAGGATGGTGGATATTTTTCTGTTTGTGCAGAATGCTGTTTTGATGTTGTGTTTATGGAGGATCTTACTGATTCTGTCTGTGGTGCCTTTTATGTATGGGAGGAGGGCTTTGCCGTTTTCTTGTTCTTTGTCTTGGATTTTAGTGGGGGTTTCTTTTTGGATTAGGTTTGTAATCTTATTTCTTTGGAATCCATTGGATGTTAGTACATTGGTGAGAGTGTGTAGTTCGGGTTTTTAGGTGTTGTTCGTCAGCTAAGCGTTTTGTTCTGGAGATGAGTGTCTTGGCTACAGAGTTGATCTGTGCTGGGTGGTGGTGTGAGAGAGCGTGCAGATAGCGGTTTTGTGTGTGTTTTCTACTGGTATATGGTGTGTCCTAGGGAGCCATTGGATTTCTTGTAGACTAAGACATCCAGGAAGGGAAGTTGGTTGTTAGCTTCTGTTTCCATGGTGAACTGTATTTTGGGGTGTAGGCTGTTGAGGTGTGTGAGGAAGTTGTCCAGTTTTTTCTTTCCCATGTGGCCAGATTATGAAGGTGTCATCTACGTATCTGAGCCAGAATTTGGGTTTGTGATCCGATTTTTCTAGAGCTTGGGGTTTCAAAGTGTTCCATGTAGAGGTTTTGCAATGACAGGTGAGAGGGGTGATCCCATGGGTGCTCCTTCTGTTTGTTTGTATTTTTGTCCGTTATAGATGAAGTAATGTGTTGGATAGGCAGTGGTTTGTCAGATCTAAGATGTGTTTGGGGGGGTTATATTTGTTTTGGATAGCTGTCAAGGCTTCTTTGATAGGCACTTGGGTGAAGAGGGATATGACATCGAAGCTCACTAGTAGGTCGCTGGGCTGTAAGTTTTGTTTCTTTATGATCTCTATAAACTGGAATGAGTTTTTTACGTGTGAGGTGATGGATTCTGCATAGGGCTGTAGTTGTTTGGCGAGAAATTTGGCTAGGTTTTGTAGAGGTGAGCCTATGGAGCTGACTATGGGTCTGAGTGGGGTTCCTTCCTTTGTGTATCTTGGGAGACCATAGAGTTTGGGGCATCTGGATGATTTCTCTCTGGGAATGATTCTTTGCTGGATCTCTTCGCTAATGGGGGAGGCTTTTATTTTGGATCTGGTGGTTTTTTCCAGGTAGGTGGTGGGATCTGTATTTAGGGGTTTGTATGTGGAGTCTTGGAGTAGGTTGGTTAATTTGGTTTGGTAGTCAGATGTGTTTCATAACCACCGTGGCGTTGCCCTTGTCTGCTGGTAGGATTATTATGCTGGTGTCTTCTTTCAGGTTACGTAGTGCTGTCTGTTCCTCTTTGGGTAAGTTTGCTTTTGGGTGGCTTGCTGGTACAGAGGATGTTGGTGATTTTCGAGTCTGATTCTGTTAGCCATCGTCGGGTTGATTTTGGTCAGGCTGGTTTCAACTCCACATATAATGGTTTCAGTGGGGATGTGTTTGGGAGTGACTGCAAAGTTGAATCCTTTGGAAAGGACATTGGTTTCGGCTTTGGTGAGGATCCTATCTGAGATGTTATGCACTGTTTGTTTCATGTGTGGCTGTGAGGGAGGAGGGGTTTGTTTCTGGCGTTCTTGTAGTCTTCGGAGTTTGTTGGTGTGTGTATCTGTCTTGAGGGGGGTCTGTGTTTCGGCTCTCCAGACGGCGAGTTGTTTGGATTTGTCCCAAAGTGCGGGGTGGATCTTGTTGCTGAGTTTGAGGTGGAGTGTGAGGAGATCTTTGTTAATTCGGTCTAGGAGGAATCTTTTTGTGTGAAGTTCATTTCTGATTAGGGCCAATTCTGTTCTTTTCAGGATCCGTTTGGTGGCTGCAGAGTTGGAGTGGAATTTCAGTTGGAAACATGTGGGGATTAGATTTTGATCTCGGCAGTTGCGTAGGAATGTGAGGTCGCATAAAATGGAAGCTCTTTGGACTTCAAGTTTTTCATAGGTTCTGGTCAGATGGTGGATTTCCTCCCCGTAGAGATTCGATATTTGTTTTCTGAGGTTTTCGCGGGTGTTTGTATGTAGGTCTTTGGTTGTTCGGGTTTTCTCCCGCGTAAAATTGGAGGTGTCTTGGCGACGTTTCGACGAAGTCCCATTCGTCATCTTCAGGCTGGTGTTTTCAGCTTCGTACTTCGAGCAGCAATGTGTGGTCTTAGCTGTTTCTTCCTTTTAACTGCCATGGGGGTATGAACTGATTGGGTGGGAGCTTGGCTGTGTTCTGATTGGGTGGAGGAGTGTTCTGATTGGTTAGGGGCTTGGCTGTGCTCTGATTGGCTGGGGGGTTGGCTGTGCTCTGATTGGCTGGGGGTTGGCTGTGCTCTGATTGGCTGGGGGAGTGTTCTGTTTGGTTGTGCTCAGGTTAGTCTGAGTTGCATAGGTTTTTAAGATTTTGGGCTGCTTTGCTATTTTTTGGCTTCGCATTCGTGGTCGTGCCTCATCTTCATGGAGGGTGTCAGTTTGCTTCATGTATGGATTGGAAGCGTTTAAAGTGGCTAATGATGCAGCTGTGGTCTGGCTTCTGGTTTGTGGTCGTGCCTCATCATCGGTGTGGCTTTGGGTTTGCTTTTTGCGTGATGTGTGGTGGTGACATCCTGTGTGGTTTTGTGAGTGTGGATCTGGTGTCATTTTTTGTGTTAGGGAGTCGTTTGTCATAAGTGCCGTTTCCAAATGTCTGTAGGAGCGGGGAGGTATCATCTCGCTTGTTCATGCTGTGGGGCGTTTGTTCTATCTCATGGCTTCTCTGATTATTTCTGTTATTAAAATGTTCCCTTTTTGGCAATGGTTCTGGTTATTT